ACATGGCAAGAGCACCAACAACGGGGAATTCAACGAAGACTGGACCGGTTTTATATATCACCCGAACTGTGTCGGAATAGTGGAAAATTAGATATAACAACGGGATACAGAGACTTCTCAGATCATAATTCGGTGGCTTTGACGCTTCCCATCTTAAAGAGGTGGGGAACAAAGAGGCCTGCACCAATATCGCGGAAAAACTTTGAGGACGGGAAAATGAATGACCATATAAAAGAAAGATGGAATCAGCAAGAAGGAGGAGATCTGCACAAGTTCACAATTGAGATAGCCAATGAAATCTGGAAAAAGACACAGAACAAGCGAAGAAAAGTTTTCAAAAAAGTGCAAGCAATAAGAAGAAATATTGAAGCCATTAAGAGATTGATCAGGTTGGACCCGCTGGATACGTCACTGAGAACTCAGCTAGCAAGAACCAAAGCCCAACTTTTCACCCTGGAAGCGGAAAAAATGGAGGCGTTTATAAGGTCGGGGCACCTCAAATGGCATATTAGTGAGAATGCGCTAAACAAAGAGTTTTACAAGTCCATAAAAGCAAGAGTTACGTCCCCGCCAATGTTCAGGCTCAAGGATGATCAAGGTGAGATGCATACGAGCCTACAGGAGATGCACAGGATGGCTGAGACATACTACCAAGGACTGTTTAGAGCAGAACCGTGGACAGAAGAAAGGAAAACGGCCATGGAGGAAGTTCTTCAGTCGGTGCCCCAGAAAGTAGATGAAGCCTTAGCACGGACCCTGTGCAGAAACTTTACACTGGAAGAGCTAGAGGATGCAGTTAGAGACTTGAACGATGACAAGATGCCGGGGGAAGATGGGATGCCACCAGCATATTATAAAGCAAACTGGGAATGGTTGGGGCCAGTAGTGTTGGACACATGGAAGGAGGTGATGAGAACAGGACAATGGCCCCCAGGAGCCATAGATGGAATAATTGCGCTCATTCCCAAAAAAGGAGGGGATGCATCTCTACTCAAGAACTGGAGACCGATATCGATGCTAAATACACTATACAAGATAGTAGCCAAGGCGCTAGCCAAGAGATTAAGGCCGTTATTGCCAGAAACGATACATGACACCCAGAATGGGTTTGTGGAAGGAAGACAACTGGTAGACAACATATTGACAGTGTTGCTCACACAAGAACAAGTCAAAGACCAAGGATTAGAGATGGCCATAATACTCCTGGATTACGAGAAGGCATATGATAGAGTAGACTGGGAATTCCTGCAAACGACAATGAGGAAGATCGGCATCCCTGAAGAGTTTATAGGATGGACGGCCACCTTATACCAAGGCGCATCAAGCAAGGTCACAATAAACGGGACAGTAGGGAACACGATCAAGCTCCAACGGTCAGTAAGACAAGGGTGTCCATTAGCCCCGTTTTTGTTCCTGTTCGTGGCCGATGCTTTAGCACATTATCTGGCAAGGATGGACGGACCGGAAGGGCTGGTATTGCCTGGGTGCAGAGACTCACTACAAGACCTGGCAGGGACAGAGGAAAGGCAGTTGAAATCCAGTGCCTTCGCGGATGACACAGGAATCATCACGACAGGCTCCCCGGAAAACATGAGCAAGGTCAAGAAGGACTTGGACTTCTTCAACCTGGCAGCTGGCTCACGAATAAACTGGGGAAAATCGGTGGGAATATGGCTGCCAAGCTCTGACCCGCCAAATTGGGGGAGAGAGTGGGATTTTAAGTGGCTGAAACAAGGAGAAACAACAAGATACTTGGGGTTCCAAATAGGCCGGGCATACGACCCCCTCCCGCAGAATCAGAAGGCGGTCGAAAAGCTTCGAGATCAACTGAAATTTTGGGCATCACGGAAGCTGTCCTTCTCGGCAAGATGTGTAGTGGCGAATAATATAGTGCTAGGAGCAATCTGGTTCCTGGCGGCATCATGGAACTTGGACAAGAAAACACTAAAAGAAATGAACAAGCTCATCAGGACATATGTATGGAAGGGCCAAGCAACAGTATCAAGAGGAGGGGCAAAGGTTGGATGGAGCTCGGTCACAAGAGCAAAACAGGATGGGGGGATAAACATTATAGATATAGAGGAACAATGCAAGGCGCTGCTATTCAAAATCTTTCACCGAATGAACATGCCCGGAAACCAACCATGGAAACTCCTACTACGCCATCAACTGCTTAAAGTCATTCCGGACAGACTAGAACACACGAGGCAAAACTGGGAAAAAGATGAAAGGTGGCTGTTCATGGAAGGCGCACTGAAAATGCCAAAACCAAATACGTTCTCTGGGAAACTGTTCAGATTGTGGAAGGAATTCAAGAGCAAGTTGGAAAAAAGAAAACCGACAAACACTTATGAGTTGGATCGACAACCAATATTTCTTAATAAGCTATTTCAATATAAGGGGAAATGTTTGGGGGAAACTGCGGACAGAGGAATAGACAAAGTATGCCGGGACCTTCACAGTGCTGGGATGAGAACATTTGCAGAAGCTGACTCAATGATAAAAGCGGGGGAAACAGAAATGAACAGAGATAGACTAAAGGTTTTCTATGGGCTGGAAATCTCGGCACACAGGCTGAAAAAGTTCGAAACAGCCTTTGAAGAAGCACAAGGGAAATGCAAACAGAGCATTAAGGAAGTCAGAGAAACGACACCAGCCTGGTGGATAGCCGAGGAAAAGGTGATATACACGGCAACTCAAGACCAGACGAAATGTTATGTGTTCGAAGTCGGGGTGGCTGGGAGACTATTACCATACAAAGTGCCCAAGGAGAGCCTACGACCGGACATGTCACGAACAGAGCCGATACGTGTTATACAGATAGATAAGAAAACAGCATCAATGGACCCGAAGATAACGGAAGGCCAGGTAGCTAGGATGTACTGGTTCAGACAACAAAAATTAAGCGAGCTGGCCTGGGATCCAACGGAATGGAATTGGCGGGGAAGGAAAAAGGAAGAATTCTTTGCCTACGAAACAAGATTGGGGAGAAAGCTCATTCGGCCGCGCAGTGACTCACTACTGGTATCAAGGATGAAACGAGCCAACATACAGGACAAGACACAGCAGGAGATATTGAAAGAGTTATGGAAAGGACGTTGGGCAGCAAAAACAAGATACTTCATGTGGTTGACAATGCAAGACAGGCTACCATCAAAAAGGAACATACACCTCGTGGACCAAGCATGTGACAAATGTGGAGCGAGGGAGACACAAAGGCACATATTATGGGAATGTGAAAGCGCACAAGACGTGGGGAGAAGCACGTGCTGGTTGCTGCAACAACACTCCCAGAGACAAGTGTGCCTCACGTATGAAGCGGCAGTATGGGGCGAAGCTGCCGCAGGAATGCGAAATGGAACAGACTCTTGGAAATGGACATCAAGAGAAGAAGGGGCACCAAGGTTTGATCAACTCAACACAACTCAAACAGACATAGAAGGAATCCCAACAGAGATAGTGGACCTACTGCGAGGAATTACAATGTGGGAAGTATGGAAAGCCCGGTGCAACAGAATCTTTAATGACAGGGAAGAAGGACCAAGGGTGGTGGCGTCACGGGTGTGGACTAGAATGATAACTGCAGCAGCAGCCCGTGTTCTACAACTGGAAAAAAGAGGAGGGAGAAATGGCCCAGAAAAAGCAAAAAAAGAAGCGCAGATCTGGCATTTCTTGTGGAAGCAAGGGGAGGCAGGTACTCGGGAATGGATGTGGACACCACCGGACGAATGGTTCCAGGTGACGCATCTAGGAAGACCTTCGGGCGCCAGTTCACGAGCAACCCCCCTTTCTGTAGGTACTTCCATTGTAGGCTCCTCTAGATAAAGGCTCTTTGCTGGTTTTGTGCCCAACAAAACCATGCCCAGTTTTTTGGTTTTTTGCTGGAAAATAAAAGGCCCCGTTTAACAAAGTCGGACTAGAACACCTCTCAAGTCATTTCACAAAGTCGGACTAGACTACACCTCTCAAGTCATTTCACAAAGTCGGACTAGAAAGAAGAGAATGGCGAGTGAAGGCGGAGAGGAGAGGGAAGGCGCTAAGGCAAGAGGAGAGCAGAGAGGCCGTAGGGAGAGAGTGGAGTGGACGCTTGGGGGCGGCGGTGGCGCTGAACAGCAGTGAGGCAAGCGGATCGAAGTTTTTGGCGGTAGACAGATCCGAGCGGGCTTTTTGCACTATCTGGTAGAATAGATCTGGAAGCGCCAGGCGAAAGCACGACTGCTCTGAGTGTGGCCAGGCAGTGAGTTTGTTCCTTCTCTGGGTGTGAGTGACTCGCGCAAGTTACAGCAAAAGATTGGGTGGATAGAGCTAATAGTGTGGTCCAAGCTGGTTTCAAGTCGGTGGCCCGGTTTCTTCCGCGAGCCATCACCAGACAAAGGCTAAAGATCTGAGCTAGAAGCGAAGCCTCTCCTCCAGCTGCAAAGCGCAAGAAAAAAAGAAAAGAATCGAAAGCATCCCACTGAATCACCCCCGCCGTGCATTTTTTGGCTCGTAGCTCAAGTTTTGGAATGGCTCTGAAGGACATCCTTTCTGGCCCCCCCTCGGCTGACAGTATTGGCTTGTAAGAAAGTCCTTTCGGTCCTCGGGGGAACAGGCCAGAGAGGAGTAAGATCGCCGGGTCATGAAAAGCTGAGTGAAAAGTCTTAAAAGTCCCCCAAACACTCCTCGATGCATGCACTAAAAAAGAAAGAGCGCGCGCTGGGAGGATAAGAGGAATGGTCGCAATAAGGCAAGGATCTGGAGTACTGGTCAGGGAGACCTTTAGGCACAGCAAAACTGGGCTGGCCGGATGAAATCAGCTTGGGACCCGGAACTTTTGTCTGAAGGTTCAAAAACTCTAAGCAACCGAGATCTTGAGCAGAAGTAACTGGGCAAGAGGGAAGCTCCGCTTTAGTTGGAAGACCAAGCTCACTGGCCAGAGACACGCCCAAGAAAGGAAGTGCAAAGCTTGAAGCAAGATCATGATGTTCAAAGGCAAAAAACCGCTGCTCTGGACGGCTAGGATGCGACTGAGAGGAGAAGAAGGGACGGAAGAGATGGTGGACACGCGGCAGAACAAGATGGGAGGAATCGGGAGTGGTGGGAATCCCGGGACAACGGCTAGACGGCGAATGAATGTGGGTGCGGGAAATCCAAGGAAGGAGTTAAGAGGGGAGAACGGCGGAATAACTGTCAAGATCGTAGCAAATCGGGAGAAAAACGAGGACAGTAACAACGTCATCAACACGCAGCAAGTGGGAATAAAAGCGACTGAGCAAGTCACTGTCGGAGGGGAGGGGAAGAAGGACAAGGTGACACGTGGAGATGCATGGGGGGAAAATCTAAGCATGAAATACAGGGAAGGGACGCGTGGCGGGGTAATGTCCGAGGAGAAGCCGAAGAATCCAAGGAAACAATCATGTCCGATATCAACATGGACAGGGAAACGGGAAGAAAAATGTGGAGGAGTGGGCAGCAAATGGCGGAACGACAAGTGGCAACCAGGGTCAGCGCTATTTAAAGGGGACTTGTCAATTCGGAGGGCTTTATTTTCGGTAAACGACGAAGGGCAGCGCGAAGACAAAGGCAAGGCGGTAAGCAAGAGGAGAGGGAAAGACAAGGGGGAAAAATCTCCGAAAGGAAAGAGGGTCGTAGACGAAGTGGAGGGAACGGAAGGGAAGGAAAAGGGGGAAAAAGAGGGAGAGAGGAGAAGAGGATCGCAAGAATCAGAGGGGGAACAACGGAAAAAAGAGGAAGACACCGGAGGAAGTATGCCGCGAGCAAGGACAACAGCGAGGATGAGTACGGCAGGCGGAAGAGCCAGAGGTGTGCAGCTGCCGGAGGTACTGGATCTAGAAGAGGCGCTGACAGGAGAAGTGCCGGTAGTCAATACGGAAAGCAAAGGAAAAGAGGACTCAAGCGAGGAAGAGGGAGCACCCCTCACGAGAGCTCCTAGAAGAAACACCACCAACGAGTCACCGGGGACGGGGGAGGAAAATGCACCGGGAAGGACGGAGAAAGAAGCCAGCGGGAAGGAAGCAGGGGTAGGGTCCCCGTCCGGGATCAAGCGAAGGGTCAAAACGTGCTGCCCGCTGGACAAGGGCCCCCCGTGTTTCAAGGCAATCCGGGAAGCCAACGTGCGTAAAAAGCAAGAAGCTAGACGTCTGGCAGAAGAGGAAGCAAAGCGGGTACTGGAAGAAGAAGCTGAAAGGGAAAAGGCTACCAAAGAAAGGCAGGAACAGGAAGCCAGACAAGAAAGACCGATTGAAATGGAACAAATGGCGCGAATATATGAAGAACCGGTCGGACAGGAATTCAATGGCAGAATGAGGGATGACAAGGGCAAGGGGAAGTGGGAAGAAGCGAGACAATGGGAAGCATCGTCATCCAGAGGGAACCGGGAAGAGCTCACGCCAGAAGTGGTGATATCCCCGGACGGGAAACAAGAGCCGGGAACAGGGTACCCAAAGGTACTACCGCAGTACTCGAAAATGTCTGTCTGCCCGGATGCTCCCATAGTCCCGTTTGGGCCACCACCCATGAAGATCGAGGAGATAATGCCACCAAGGAAGCCCATGAGAATGCCACATGGGCCAGCAAGCGATGTGCTAGAGGTTGACCCGGAAGAATTCATGGAGGAGTTAAACAAGCTGCAAGCCAGATGAGCGGAAGAAACCGTGCACGTGATAGTGGAGGGAGCAGTCCCGGCAGGTTTTGTAGTGTCAGATTGGGTGTGCGCAGCGTTGGCGTACCATGACATGTTGGTCACGGTTTTAGCAGAAGATGTGAAGGACCTGGGGGAAAAGTGCTATAATGTAGTCATCAAGGATGAGAGAGCTCGGCACAAGCTATTGCGAGTGGATGCGTATGCACAGTTGGACTTCCAGCTCTTCTTCAGAGCATACCACAACAACTTCACGCCCCAGAAAAAAAGGATGCTACTCCCGCCATCCGTGATCGTGAACTTTGAGCTACAGGGAATGGACGTGGCACTGGCAGAAGACAAGATTCTGGCAGCAATACTGAGGCAGTTTGCTACGTTCATAAGGATGGAAGGAATGCCAGTGGGAGACAGAGTCACGGTCAAAGTCAGGATTCCGAAAGAAGTACACATCCCCTTCGAGATAGAACTCAAGCCAGGGAAGGGGGAAGTGCCAAGAAGGATTCGGGTTATGCTGCTACCGAACCCGAGCGTGTGCATCATCTGCCGGCAAACAGGACACATTGGGAAACACTGTTTGGCCAGAGGAGCAAGCATGGGGGGAATGCCGGAAACAGGGGAAGACCGACAAAAAGCAAACAGTGGCTCGGAAGGCAAGAAACGAGGAGCAAGAGGGGAAAGGGAAACAATAGAGAAAGCGGCCTCCAGTGGAGAAAGCAAGAAGCCTCGAACAAAAGGACAGAAGGAGGAGGGACAAGGGGAGCAATCAACAGCAGCCAAGCAGGAAAAAGGACAGTCAGGGACATCACGAGGAAAAGAATGGAGGCCAACAGGAAGACTTTTTGAAGGACAAGCCGTGGGGGAGGCAAAGGGACCTGACACTGAAGTAGAGACTGTCCAGGATAAAGGAGAACTACCACCTCAGCAGGCAACACAGAGGGCGCCGGGGCCAGTAGAACAAGAACAACAACAATCACGTTCAAGATCAGGAAGAACGGAAGACTTTGCATTGCCTTGCCAAGAGGAAACTGCCCGCCAGGGTTCACCCCACCGAGAAGAGCAGTATGTGAAGTAGAGCTCTATGTCAGTGGAACGAACCCTCCCAAGCTCCTGGGGGAATGGATTGACAACAGAGTTGGATACGCTCCGCCGGCAATTTTGATCACGCCCGGACAAGACATAGGCCGGACCCTGGAGGACATCCTGGCCTACAACTTCAACTGGAACCCGCAGAGGTTCTCCATTCGAGAAGACAATTTTGTGGAGCAAGCGCCGAACTTGTTCAGGTTCCGAGGAACGGCGAGAATCCCGTTTGCATGGCCACTCCGACCAATGGGCCCATACCATTGGGTGGAGAGACAGCGTCTTGGCAGCGCCCGAGGATTCAGAAATGGTTAACGTCAACGTGAGAACGTGGAACATGGGAGGCCTGAAGAAGGAGAGATCAGCGCTGAATAACAAAAAGACGAAGTTTAGACAGTACCTTAGACAAATAGAAGGTGTGACTCAATGTTTTGATTTCCTGTGTGTGCAAGAGCATAGGCTCTCAAGTATGGACCTGGTTTATAAGTTTACGAAAGGGAAATATTTCTGGAATCCGGCGGTATCATGTAGTGGAGGCACATTAATAGTGGTAAAAGGCCAGTGGGAATCCCTGGTCGAAGAACATGCAATACTGGTACCGGGTAGAGCACAGTGCGTCCAGTTTAAGATAGGAGATATGCTAGTGGGCCTCCTGAATGTATACGCGCCGGCAGGAAGCTCATCTGAAAGAGCAGATTTCTGGAATGAGCTGGTACACCGAATACCAGCACAACCCTCAACATGGATGGTCACGGGAGATTTCAACTTTGTGGAAGAAGTGCTAGACAAAGACGGGGGAGAAATGAGAGATAAAAGGACAAGCAGGGAAAGAGCAATGTGGGCACAACTAGTGCTAGCGCTGGGGCTAGAGGATACGTACAACATCCCGGGTTTTGTACAACATCAGCCAAGGTTCACGTGGCAAGAGCACCAGCAACGGGGAATTCAACGAAGACTGGACCGTTTTTATGTATCACCCGAACTGTGTCGGAATAGTGGCAAATTAGACATAGCAACGGGATACAGAGACTTCTCGGATCATAACTCGGTGTCATTGACGCTCCCCATCTTAAAAAGGTGGGGAACAAAGAGGCCCGCTCCGGTGTCTCGGAAAAACTTTGAGGACGGGAAGTTGAATGACTATGTAAAAGAAAAATGGAACCAGCAAGAAGGAGGAGACCTGCACAAGTTCACAATCAAGATAGCCAATGAAATCCGGAAAAAGACACAGAACAAGAGAAGAAAAGTGTTCAAAAAAGTGCAAGCAATAAGAAGAAATATTGAAGCTATTAAGAGATTGATCAGGTTGGACCCGCTGGATGCGTCACTGAGAACCCAGCTCGCAAGAACCAAAGCCCAGCTTTTCACCCTGGAAGCGGAAAAAATGGAGGCGTTTATAAGGACGGGGCACCTCAAATGGCATAACAGTGAAAATGCGCTAAACAAAGAGTTTTATAAGTCCATAAAAGCAAGAGTTACGTCCCCGCCAATGTTCGGGCTCAAGGATGACCAAGGCATGATGCACACGAGCTTACAGGAGATGCATAGGATGGCTGAGACATACTACCAAGAACTGTTTAGAGCGGAACCATGGACAGAAGAAAGGAAGATGGCCATGGAGGAAGTTCTTCAGTCGGTGCCACAGAAGGTAGATGAATCCGTAGCACGGGCCCTGTGCAGAAACTTCACGCTAGAGGAGCTAGAGGATGCAGTTAGAGACTTGAATGACGACAAGATGCCCGGGGAAGATGGGATGCCGCCAGCATACTATAAAGCAAATTGGGAATGGTTGGGGCCAGTAGTGTTGGACACATGGAAAGAGGTGATGAGAATGGGACAATGGCCCTCAGGAGCCATAGATGGAATAATTGCGCTCATCCCCAAAAAAGGGGGGGATGCATCACTAATCAAGAACTGGAGACCAATATCGATGCTAAATACACTATACAAGATAGTAGCCAAGGCGTTAGCCAAGAGGTTACGGCCGTTATTGCCAGAGACGATACACGACACCCAGAATGGATTTGTGGAAGGAAGACAACTAGTGGACAACATCCTGACAGTGCTGCTCACACAAGAACAAGTCAAGGACCAAGGATTAGAGATGGCAATAATACTCCTGGATTACTAGAAGGCATATGACAGAGTAGACTGGGAGTTCCTGCAAGCGACGATGAGGAAGATCGGCATTCCAGAAAAGTTTATCGGATGGTCAGCCACCTTATACCAAGGCGCATCAAGCAAGGTCACAATAAATGGGACAGTGGGGAACACGATCAAGCTGCAACGGTCGGTAAGACAAGGGTGTCCACTAGCCCCGTTTCTATTCCTATTCGTGGCCGATGCTTTAGCGCACTATTTGGCAAGGGTGGATGGGCCGGAAGGGCTGGTACTGCCCGGGTGCAGAGACTCATTGCAAGACCTGGCAGGGACAGCAGAAAGGCAGTTGAAATCCAGTGCCTTCGCAGATGACACAGGAATCATCACGTCAGGTTCCCCGGAGAACATGGGCAAGGTCAAGAAGGATTTGGACTTCTTCAACCTGGCAGCTGGCTCAAGAATAAACTGGGGAAAATCGGTAGGAATATGGCTACCAAGCTCTGACCCGCCAAACTGGGGGAGTGAGTGGGATTTCAAGTGGCTGAAACAAGGAGAAACAACAAGGTACTTGGGGTTCCAGATAGGCCGGGCATACGACCCCCTCCCGCAGAATCAAAAAGCGGTCCAGAAGCTCAAAGATCAACTGAAATTTTGGGCGTCACGAAAGCTGTCCTTCTCGGCAAGATGTGTAGTGGCGAATAATATAGTGCTAGGGGCAATCTGGTTTCTGGCGGCATCATGGAACTTGGATAAGAAAACGTTAAGAGAAATGAACAAGCTCATCAGGACTTATGTATGGAAGGGTCAGGCAACAGTATCACGAGGAGGGGCAAAGGTTGGATGGAGCTCGGTTACAAGAGCAAAACAGGAGGGGGGGATAAACATAATAGATATAGAGGAACAATGCAAGGCGCTGCTACTCAAGATCTTTCACCGAATGAACATGCCCGGAAACCAACCATGGAAACTCCTACTACGCCACCAACTGCTCAAAGTCATTCCAGACAGACTAGAACGCACGAGGCAAAATTGGGAAAAAGATGAAAGGTGGCTGTTCACGGAAGGCGCGCTGAAAATGCCAAGACCAAATACTTTCTCTGGGAAACTGTTCAGATTGTGGAAAGAATTCAAGAGCAAGATGGAAAAAAGAAAACCAACAAACACCTACGAGCTGGACCGACAACCAATATTTCTAAATAAGCTATTTCAATATAAGGGGAAATGTTTGGGAGAAACAGAGGACAGAGGAATAGACAAAGTATGCCGGGACCTTCACAGTGCTGGGATGAGAACATTTGCAGAAGCTGACTTGATGATAAAAGTGGGGGACACAGAAATGAACAGAGATAGACTAAAGGCTTTCTACGGGCTGGAAATCTCAGCACACCGGCTGAAAAAGTTCGAAACAGCCTAGGAAGATGCGCGAGGGAACTGCAAACAGAGCATTAGGGAAGCCAGAGAAACGACACCAGCATGGTGGATAACTGAAGAAAAAGTGATATACACGGCAACTAAAGACCAGGCGAAATGTTTTGTCTTCGAGGTCGGGGTG